TTTCTGAGCCCGCCTGTAATCTCAGAGGACCCGCACGCTTTGCAGTGCCTCCCTGCCACGTCGACAATTCCTGCTAGCAGCCATTCCTGCATCACTAGTGCTGATGGGGCCTGTAAACGTATGCTTGTTGACTGTTAGAGCCCATCCCAGAATGCCTCCAGGGCTCCAGCACAGCAGACTCACCTCAGATCTGGGGGTGCTGGGATAGTGGCAAACACCTTCCTTCCAACTCTTTGGTTTGCCACTGGCTTTCTGGTAGGTGCTGCTGCATGGTGAGGTTCAGAATTTGACCTGATGTCTGTTTAAAACACTGCAAAGCTCTTTTGATATATTGCAGCATTGGAACACTGGGGAAATAAATTCCTCTTTGTTGGCTTGACTGTTTAATTTTAGTTCTTACATACGACAGAATGAAATGTTTCCAATCCATTTAAAATAGTTTCAGGAAGAGTGAAATTGTGTGTCTCTGGTTACAGTTTCCAAATCCCCTTCCAATGGGTAGGGGGGTGGTCACCCCGCTCCTGCCTGGAGGGGTTAAAAGCAGCCCCGGAGAGGGCTGTGGCTGATTGGGGAAGCAGCCACAGCTGAGGCCACGGCCCAATCAGGCCACAGCTGGCCCTATAAAAGGGCTGTGAGCCAGGAGCTCAAGAGGACACACACTCTCTAGCTTTCTAGAGAGAGAAGGACCTGGCTGCCTGGGAAGCTGAGGAGGGTACCTAGGGTGGTGCAGTGCTGGGGAAGGGCAGAGGGAGCCGGGGAGCTCCAGTCTAGCAAAGCCCCAGGCTGCAGGCCGAGTTAAGGGCCCACAAGAGGGTACTAGGGCTGTAGAGGGGCAGCCCAGAGATAGGCAGAGACAGCTGGTCCAACCCCCCTTGCTGATGATGAGTGGTTTACAGACTGTGTCTGCCCCAGGGAGCGGGGGCTAAGTGGACACTGGCAGTAGCCACTGAGGCAAGGTGGGGATAGGGGGTGGGGGTTCCCCTGGTTGGGGAGACCCAGACAGAGGGGGTACTGCGGTGGGCAGAACTCCATGGCAAAGGGCACCGGAGTCCGGGAGGGACACGGGGCAGGTGAGACATCAGCCGGCAGAGGGCGCTCCGGAGCTGGAAAAGAGCTAATTCCCTGGATGACCCAGCAGGAGGCGCCGCGCTGGTGAGTCGATGCCCCGCCTCATGATGACTCAAAAGTGCCTGTTCTAATGCAGCTAATCCTTGCTCCTTCCTTTCTATACCATACGTTTTCTCCCATGGGCTATTCTTAGTGCTTTCGGGGTCTTCTAAGGAGTCCCCTAGTAAGTTGAGACCAGAGCCATGCCTGATATGGTAAAAGTGCTTCATTATTCTGCATAGAAGAGTTATTTTAGGTAATTATTTAGAAGTTTTGAAAACCTGTTATTTTTCTCTGCATAAAGAATTAAAGCATCCATGTTATCTTGCAATCACGGCACCTTTTATTGTGGGCTACTATATCTATGTCTGGAATCCAGAAACTCTATTGTCCTTTGATTCAGAAATTGTGGTGCTTTGCTATAACTTCAGTCTGCCTTTATTTGAATAGTAATTTTCAAGCAACATGTTCTTTGTATTTCATGTTTGTGTATTTTTCATATTTATTTCTGTATGACTATTTCTTTTAATAGTCGCCTCTGCTCACCTCCAAAAAATAACTGATTGAAAACTAATAATTTCTCTTCCTCTGAAGACTGCCCAGTTGGACCTTTTCTCCTGGCTGTCCATGGTAACTAAGGCAGCCTTTCTTTGTAGACAGCAAGATATGAAAAATAGTGCAAGTAAAGGCTCCAATCCTCCAGAGACTTATGCATGTGCTTCACTCTATTACCCGAGAAATTCCCAGCCAATTAACTTAAGCACATGCATAAGTCTTTGCCGGACTGGGCCTATATTTGCAATTTTTGCATTAATCTAAGTCAGCTCAACCACATGGTAAGGTACAATCAATATCTTGATTTTAGTGAGGCTTTTGACCCAGCCCCACATGACAGTCTCATAAGAAAACTAGGACGATATGGTCTAGATGAAATTCTAACAGGTGGGGGCACAACTGGTTGGCAGAAGTAGTTATCAGAGGTGTGCTGTCAAATTGGGAGGATGTAACTTCTGGGGTCCCGCAGGGGTCAGCCCTGGGTCTGGTCCTATTCAATGTTTTCGTTCATAACTTGGATAATGGAGTGGTCGAGGAGAAAGGGCACAGGTTAATTTTCTGATTGCAGGATGAGTTTTCAGGGCCAGCACTTACAGAAATCTTTTGACATGTAAACTGGGCAAATATGAGACAATAAATATAGAAAGCCCCCAATCAATGTTTTAAGTCACTTGTCTGATTGCAACCATACTTTTCTCTTCTGTCTTCCAGAGAAACAAAATTAACATAATCAAGAGTTAAATTCTTAACTGTATTCTTGGCTTCAGGGGCATCTGCAGATGAAACTTTAATGTAGCCTAAGACCGATTCTGGAATTCCAGGTCAGTTAGATATAGAATCTATTATTGTTTTTATATAGGAATAACTTTAATATTTTGGGGGACGTTTGCACTTTACCGGTGTCATACGCACAGTGATTTGTTCTGGCAGGATTGTTTGGGGAGCTGAGTTCCTGGCTTTGATATTACTTTGCAGAAAAGCAGCATAACACGCCCTGGAGAATCACGTGGACTTTGAACACAGGAGGAAGGGAAGCCAAATGCTGAGCATCTCAACTTTGACTGTGTCCCTGTACGGTTGGTTTGTCCTTTTAAAAGATTATTTCACCCTCTCCTAGCTTAACAGCAGGGCTGGAGGCCTCTCCATCTGCTGGGCTCAAAGCTATAATTGAGAATTAGATTTGGTGTTCTGCACCCTCACAGCAAAGCAGCATCCACAATAGGGCTGGCCTAAGGGAGATGAGTACACATTACGAGACTAAGATCTCACTACAGCATGCCACTTTTACCCCTAGGCAAGTGCACTGTCTGCACTGGGGTTACGCCTGGTTTACACTGATGTGAGAGCAGGATATGGCCTCCTCTGTTCTCACCTACTATGGCAATTAATGCTGAGACCTGAACGTGGTACCGTCCCTTGTGCATGCCAATGTGACACAACACATTTGCTGTATTCTCAATAAATGAGTGCAGCAGTTAGCACAGCCGTTTCATTTTCAGCCCCGTCCAATGCCCTGCTGGCGGTGGGAAGGTAACGGGAAGCACATTTCAAGGTACAGCAGTGAAGGGCTGAAGTGGAGCCTAGTCATGGACCTGCAGTTACTTCCTCAGATTGGTGTGAGTGGATCAGGCTGGGAGGGAAGGGGCAGAAACTGACCACACTGAACACATGGGTTCTTCAGAACCTCCTTCCTTGTCTGTGAGATCGGCACTGAGCACCCTTTGGACTCTGCCAGGCCCAGTGCCACTCCCAGCACTGTCTGAGGGCGCGGTCCCAAGGACGGAGCCGGCTTTGTGCCCACCGCACAGATCGTCTGGGAAAGCAAGCCCTTCGCCTAAGGCTGCAGCATGCATGCTGCTCTGGCTAGAGGTTTGGAAGGAGGTGAGGAATCCTTCGCACAAGGGTCATGCTCCTTGGGTCACCTCAGCAGCAACGTTCTTCCCTGCAGTTTGCATGAGGCTCTGCAGGCATCTCTGTCCTCATTCAAAGGGCCTCTTTACAGAGTGACAAGGAAGGGAAGGTCAGTGCCTGCAGTCCCACTCCCCGAGCGCCCCTTCTGCCTCCCTCACACTCTCTTCCTTCGTTCCTTGCTCATCCAGAGGATGCCAGCCATGGCTGCCTCCTGCAGAGGGGGTTTCCCACACTGCCTGGTGTTGGGCTGGGCCATACCAGCAGCCAGCCCCATCAGCTGTTGGCCTGGATGCAAGCTGGTAGCACAGCCTGGAATCCAAACCGAGCCAAAGGAATGATGCTTCATGAGCCAGAAGCAAATGGAAGTGACAAGCAGAGGACTTGCCCAGAGTGAGGGACCGCGCGCTCTGAGGAGGAGGACTGCAGCCTGAATCTATTTCAGGTGAGCACCGAAAGGCTTGTCTGGGTTTCGACTGCAGCTCCTACACGTGACAAGCACCAGCTGGGATTTCATGGAGTTTCCCCAGGTACTTGGGTGCTTCCTTGGCTGGGTGGGCACTGGGGGCCCACCTGGAGGAGGCCTCTGTGTACCTGTCTGAGAGGCTGTGATCCAGGACCTGCATTCTGAGCTCTGCTCAGCCGCACTTCCCCATTGCACCTCATCTCTGGGCCCTGTGCACGCAGATAAACCAGCTCAGCACGGTCATAAATCAGGGGCTTGGACCAGCAAACAGAGTCCACCTGCAGCGTTACCTGCTTCCATCTCCGTGGGATATTGACTCTCACTCCTACTACTTGCCTTTGCCACAGATACAGTGTCCACTCTGCCTCCCATTGTCCACGAGCTCCCCTGTCAGTGTGTGCTAGCGCTGGGTGTGTGCACGCAGTGTTAGTGTGCGAGTGCATTTACATCCTTACCCTCGGTCTGTAAACAACATTATGTGCCTCTTTGCCCTTGAAGATGCTCTCTTGCTTGCTGGATACATGCGGGCGTTTGTCTCATGGTGACAAATGCAATATCCTTGTCAGCCATTAAAAACAGTACAGAATGTAACACGGACATCGCTAGCACTACGCAACATCAATAAAGCACGGGCCAACTGCATTCAGAACTGGCTAACTGACAGATCTCAAAAATCTCATTGATTGTGGGTGTTTTTAGTTGTGTTCTGCAGAGACTCGCCCAAGTCCAGATGCTATTCAAATCTTTATAAATTATCTGGAAGCAGGGCCGGCTCCAGGGTTTTGGCCGCCCCAAGCAGCCCCAAAAAAAAAAAACAAAAAAAAAAAACA